TGAAGATTTAGACATCAAAATTTTGAGAAAGTATAAGTTGACCAAAAAGTTCATTATTCTCTAATTAAAACTCTGGGACCTCTTCTCAGAACGGTATGGATTACAAGTATAGAAGAAAGTGACAGCTACGTTGAAGAATTGCGATCAATTCAAGGTCAAATTGTTTTCTTTTTTATGAATCTTGTCGCATTCTTGGCGATCATACTTGCTATCAGTGCGCGAGCCAGCTCGCAACACCCACGCATATATGTATACTGGCTCCGCGGGGCCTGTAATCGCTTCAAAAACGACGAATAATGGTAAACGATGGATATCTACGTTCACGATCTCCTTCGTGATATATGTAGTAAAAGTTGGCTTCATGTCTTTGATGACACATTCAATCAATTGATACTAACTATCTTTACAATCCGAGTGTCAGAATTAATTAATTGAGCCATGTTTCATAGAAACGACGTAAAATCTTTGTTGCGTTGTTAAAAGTATTGGTATATAGCTCATAAAGATCAATATGTTTTCAACTTCCTCTTAAAGTGGATGAGAATTGTGCCAAAACATCAGAAATAAATTCAATACATTTAGGCATCGGAAAAGACATGTATAAAAATATATATATTATATTTAATAGAATATTTATAAACTTTGGGTATAAATTTTATTTTAGTTTAAAAGTTAAGTAGGTATTACGCTAGATACCAATAAAAAAAACAACAACAACAACAACAACGACAAGAGGAATGCAAGAACAAAAAGGAACGAGAAAGACTACTCTCAAAAAATTACTGTCGACTAACTACCACCTGAACAGGTCCCCGACCTACAATCGACCACTGCTACTATCTATTTCCCTCGCGAGCTCTTAACGTTTTTGGAACTCATACATTTTATTATTTTTTTTTTTTTTTGTAACTCAGAAGAGGGAACACTTCCGGCACAAGTATTACTGACGGGCCACAGGCCAAAGTCAGTAACACATACTATCTTGCTTGAAAAAAAAGGGTAAACGTTATTTTAAAGTAAAATTTAAAAAAAAAATTTAACAAAATTAAATTTTAAGCGAAATTATTATTATTATTATTTTTATTTTTTTGCGCTTCTATTTACAGTGCGTGCTACAATAGCTGTGGGATTAACCACATTTTGACCTTCCTTTTATAATTTCCTAGTTTTCCGTTGGTAAAAATCACAAATTGTTTGTTTAAAATTTTTCGTGATAGAATTTTAAAAAGAAAAACAATCTCAAAGAAAGTTTAAAAAAGCAGCACGATGAACAGTGCTCCTCTTGGTACGTCAAGTCATGAGACTTCATGAGACTTCACGATACTTCAAAGGGAGAGTATTTCCACTTTCGGACGAGAAGATCGCCTTCAAAATTTAAGTATGCAACCCCACGACAGCAGTGTTCGAAAAGTTATCGCTCCACGAGTCAAGGAACTTTTTGATGAGTGCTAACTACGCTAAGAACCTTTTTTTTTACATCTAAAGCAATGTCATCAATTTACGGGTCAAAGCATGGGACCTTTAAGCTGGTAGATTTGCGGTCGGACGCAATATTTATAATCAGCTTAAAAAATAAGTCACAATTTTAACTTAGGCTGTGATGGAAGTTGAGTTTATGGCGAGTGGGGACCACCCTCGAATCTTCAACTATCTGTCAGCGATGCATTAACGCAAACAAAGTTATTTATACTTGCAGTCATCAGTGGCGTGACGTGCATTGCGATACATCGATTGATTTGCCATTTAAACTTATGGAAAACGATCGATGAACAGAAAGTTTGCAACGAGCATCTCAATAATCGATTCTTTACTAAAGCTTCAAATGAGGAAATATCGACAATCCATCATTTACGCCTCGCCACTAGCTGTTATCTGCCAATGCAAGTTTACTGTCAACATTTGAAGACCTTTTTAGAGGTAACGATTGTGCAATTGTTTGACAAAAAAATGAGAAAAAAAACTTGCAAATTTTAAAAAAGACAACGTTTGAGAAATTCTATTACATTTCAAAAGAAAGAAAACTTTTTTTGAGTCTTGTAAAGGGACATTGTTAAAATACTCTTGAATCTATCTGAAAAAATTAACAGTGTTTTAAAAAGATTTTTACGTACATTTTACCGGGCGTAAAAACTCTAAAAAAACCCGAGATAAGTCACCTTCGCTGAAGGTTTCAAAATATTTTAAAGCAATTTTGAAAAAACCTTGCCTTTTCACAATATTTGCTACTAATTATTAGGGGGCCCACTTGCAGCTGCAATTTCGATTAAGCGAAACTGCAGTTTCACCCATCACTTTGTTGGAACGCGTGACTGTTAAACGATCAGTTTTCACCTCATCCCCTTGCACATGGCGCCCCTATATTACAGTAAAAAACGCCTACCGGAACGAACTATTCCCTCTTAGTTCTTCTCTCACGAGATGATGGTATTGAATATTCAATGGATTATTTGTGCGCTTTATAATGGGATTGGAAACGGCCGGTGAAATCTTTAGGATTGGCAATTAATGAATGAAATCGAAGCGATAATCAACATTTTACTCCAGTGGGAACGACTTAGAAAAGAATTTATTTCAAAACTTGAATTTCAGAATTTTAGGAGGACAACTTTTTAAAAAAAAACTGTGCTGACGAATAAATTTCAAAGACGCTCTTTTGTGAGGTAACCTATTAAAGTAAATTAAGAAAGTGTCAACAAATCTTAATAGGTAGATCAACCCCCAGTATAGGGTTTTCCCTAGTATTTAATTTTTCTAAAAAATTGGGAAAATTTATCAGTTTTTTTCTTCAAGCATTAATTGGCTTACTTGCCAATCCTGAAGCATTCATTGCAAACTTCCTGAAGCATTTCCATTATAGGCGCGCAAATGATTCATTGAATATTTTATACTTTTTCACGCAGAATTTTTTAAGGTATAATTTTTACAGAAATTAATTTCACTTAAAATTAAATTGAAAGAAAGTGGTCGTATGTTTTTTCTAGGTATGAATGACATCGTCCAAATTTTCAGAGAGCAATATTTCTCTCATAAATGGACGTAGAAACTCAACATCAGGGCAGGTATTATAACAATCTTTATTTATTTTTTTCGCCTTAGTTTTCGCCCTTTATTTATTTATTTTTATTGTTTTTCCCACAAGGTTTGAAGATTAACTGCGCAAAGAACCATATTAGTCGATCACAATAAAAAACAGGGAAGACGACCTGTGAGGGTNGGGGGGGGGGGGGGGGGGGGCAACATATGAACTGAACATAGGCCGAAAAAAGACGCGTGAGGTGCGATCTGCAAAACGGCAGGATCTTTGGAAATTTCTATCGAAGGTTCAGAACGCCAAGAGTAATTGATTTATTGGCCTAAAGTTCCGGATTGTTCTTGGTATTGAGGAATCCCATCAAAATTTCCAAAAAAACCGGATTTGCTTGATTGGAGCTAATGATTTAATACAGAATCATCGGAACGAGAACTTTAAACCCTTAACGTCCCTCTCAAGGTCAAAACTTTCAAGGTGGATTTCTCGACGGTAAACTTTTTCAAAAATTTCGACGAGCGGTTTTGAAAACTCACGTCCTTGGTCCATTTTGAGTCTATTTTCAAATTCTGACTCATGTCAACCATCAAATTTCCCTCCCTTAGGTAGCACTTGTCAACGAAAACATCGTAGTTCATCGCAATAAAGTTGCGATTTTACAGCAATTTAATCACGATACGTTGTAATTTTTGGTTCGATAATATCGCGCTAAATTATCGGTGATGAAATCGCGATATTCTACCGACCGAAATACAACTTATCGCGATCGATGCGCTGCTGGCCGTGTGATGACGCCAAAAGATCAAGCAACTAACATTTTTAATTTTCCAGATTGCATCACACATCGATGGTCAAAGTGCGGAACCGCGTATCCCCATTGAGATTTCTCAAAATTTCCGCTCTTATTTTAATTTCTCGAACAGGAACAAACTGACTTTATAGCTGGAAAATACAGAATATTCTGCTGATAGAGAAGTAGAATCAGGGGCGTTTTCGAGAAATTACGTTGACTAGTTTTTTTTTTTTTTTTTTTTTTTTTTTTTTTTTTTTTTTTTAAAAAATTATAACAGGAAGTTTGCGACGTCGTAAACGGAGTTACGTGGTTTCGCACTTTGGCCACCGATCTGTATTTTAACTTAGCACCATTCTGCAATGCTTAGGAAGAACGCCGCATTAACATTCAAGAGTTGCCAAATTTCCCTCGATAAAATGTTTATTTTTGCGGCAAGTTATGGATACTTTTCCTTGACTTTTTCAGCAACTTTGGGTGAAATTGGGATCAAATTTATGTGAAAAATCGGAATAAAAATATTCATATGTTTACCAGGAAATTCGTGTTTTAGCAAAGGATATTTGGCAACGCCTGAAGGTTCATACGGCGTTTTTCCTTAGCACGACAGTATGGATATAATTAAATTAAATAAACTGGTGATTGCTTAACATACTAGACTATACCAGAATTGAAGGGCTTGGAGGACAAGGCCCACCTAAATGCAGTTTCGGCTATTTCGAGAAATACGTGTTCGAAATTTCGGAATTACATGGATCTTTAAGGCGAAAAGAAATTTTAAACTGACTTTTCGATGCTTGAAAAGTGGAATTCGGGAGCGAATTTGTTACAGAATATGCATTAAGACTAGTTTTCCTTGAAATCATTGATCTCTCAAAGTTTTCAAAAACTACCCTTACACGCCTTGTCCTCCAAACCCCTCAAATAATCAGTCCATCGTTTCCCCAATAGTTTGTAAAAATCACCCCTTTGAACCGATGAGATCTCCGTATTTTCTCTTTGTTTTCGCTGTCTATTGCTTTGTTTATCAATTTATTTAATCAACCTGCGAATTAGTCACAGAATATGCGCATTAAGACTAGTTTCAATTGAAATCATTAACATCTCAATTTTTTCAAAAACCGCACTTATGCGCTTTGTCCTCCAAGCCCCTCAAATTGTGTTGGTGTGCGTAGTACTTACGAGATATGCGTCTCCCGTAACGTGAGCGTCTGATCGCTGGACAAAAGCACAAAGTCGGGACTATCCATGGCCATGCCGCACTACCACACAGCACACCGCACCGAGTATTTCCTTCTCCCGCGCGGGAAATCGCTCGAGTATAGCACAGCACTTGCGGATCCGGGAAATCGCGGAGTGGGTTCTGGACGAACTCCACACGGACGCGTGTGAGTCAAGGAAAAGCGGGTTACGCAACCGATCGACCGCACGTGGAGCTTGTTACGACGACGACGGCGGCGGCGGACGCGAGGAGGTCGCGCCGACTGTACTGACGTTCGGGCACCTCGGCGAAGACTGCACGGCTGCAGTTTACAACCGCCACGCAGCGCCGCGCCCCGCCCCGCCGCCCCCGCCACACACGCCACCACCACTCTCGGGCCCCCCGCTCCGGCCCCCCTCGATGCGGAGTGGGTGAATTCAGTGGGTCTGCTTAATTCACTGCCGCCGAATTTAACGTTGGGACTGTTATAGCCCACTGAACATGCCAGTGTGTGGATTAGTAAAACTCTTTGGAAGCTAATTGGATCGCATTCAGCAAGAAGGAACCAGCGCTAGTACACCGTTGTAAAAATATTGCTTCTTTGTGTTTTTCTAAAAATTCCCTCAGAGTAGCCTAGAGTTTTTGGTTCACACCAAAAAATTCTTAATTTTAAAGGAAAGCAATCGTATAAATTTGAATACTGCACAACTATTGAGTATTTTTAAAGAAGAGAAGAAGTTGCACGATTTTGAAACCATTGTAATGGCGCTGGTTCCTGTTTGCTAAATGCGATCCAATTGTAAGTTCTTGGTACGTAGCTTCATCTTTAAATACGTTTTTCTCGACATCGCGATCTTTCGAACACGAACTCTGGAGCGCTCTGTACGAGGTAGTCACTTCTGGGAATTTTCGGGTGTTCGCAAATAAAATGAAAGTAAGTGATATATCTAGACAATTAATAATGCCGTGCTATGGACAGACGCCGTATGAACCTCAGGCGTTGCCAAATTTCCTTTGATACAACGCGAATTTCTTGGTAAACTTATGATTATTTTCCTTCCAATTTTTCAGAAAATTTTGTTCGCAATTTTAACCGAAGTTCCTGAAAATTTTGAGGAAAAATATATTCATGCCGTTCCGCAAAAATAAAAATTTTATCGAAGGAAATTTGGCAACTCTCGAATGTTCATACGGCGTTCTTCCCTAGCACGGCAGAATAGCTCACCGAACATGCTAGTGAGTGAATTAGTAAAAATCTTCACACGCTAAGTTGTTGATATCGTCACCTTCTGGCCAAAGTATCACACTGAAAAAAAAGAGGTAGGGATTAAGTCCCAACTGCTGGATGATATGGACATTCCCAATTAACTGTGGTAATACCCCGATTCATTGTCATTGTGGTAGTACCCCAATTAATCGTGGTGGTATCCCGACAAATTAGGTTACTAACCCAAATGTTGCGGTACTACCCCAATCTGAGTTGCGATGCTACCAAAATTAATCGAAAATGTCCATATCATCCAACAAATTTGGGTAGTAGAACAATTTTGGGAATAACCCCTGACACTTTTTTTCCGTGCACAAGCGCCATGTGAAGTCTCAAAATTTCCGCCGCCATTTTGTTTTACAGAGAAATTGTTCAACGTAGCTGTCCGAAAATTGTATTGAAATTTCTTTATGCTAGCCGATAAAATTCAGTAAAATTTTCAAACAGATCAACCAACAATATTTCTCTGTGAAGCATTAAAATGGCGGTGGAAATTTTGAAACATCGCATGGCACTTGCGATACTTTGGCCGGCAGCCCTGGTAAAAATTGGCGATAGGAGCTGCGTTTCAAAATACCATAGGAGTTCTCATAGCCGACTAAAGAAGGCGATAGAAAATCATATCGCTGGCTGTAGAAAGTGGAAAAAATCATACGGCCGGGCGACACAAAGCGATAAAAAATTATACAGCCGGGCTTTAGTTCCTATCGCCGGGCTTTACACTTTATCGCCTGGCTGTTGCTTTTTTTTCCATCGGCTATAAAAGGCTATAAGAAATTGTGTAAAAATTCGTGTGCTTTGGAATTCATTTAGTTTGATACGGAACCACCTTCATATTTACAAAACACACATTATATTTTCCTTTAATACATATTTTTTTTCATCAATTAAAATGAGAATAATCCATACAGAGGGTGCAAACATTTCAAAGTCATGAGTTGAAAAACGCTGACTCCACGAGATTAAATATTAGAGCCTTACACAAAGCGGAGCGGCGGCGCATTGGCGCCTACAAACCTAACAGGGATACTTCACGCATTGCGCAATGCGTGAAGTATCCCTGTTGGGTTTGTAGGCGCCAATGCGCGTCTCGCGCTCGCTGCCCGCCTGCCGCGCCGCAGCGTGCCACGGCACTTGAAGCAACTATTTCACACCAGAGGTATTGCACAGTATCATACGAAATTGAAGGCGCTCCAACATATTAGGAATGGCAGACATCCTTCAAAAGTACGGAGCTTTCCTCGCAAAATAAATCAAGATACTACGGCCCAAAAAGAGAGCGGTAGTCCAAAAACTCACTAAGTCCTAGCATCCTTAATTAGTAACGTTTAGCATACACTTCATCGCCAGGCTGTTGCTTAATCGCCATCGGCTATAAAAGGCTATAAGAAATTGTGTAGCCGGCTATAGGAGCTATTGGAAATCTTACAGCCGGCTGTAGATCTATGATATTTTGGAACACAGATTCTATTGCTAATTTTTACCAAGGAGGTGATGATATGTAGCTTCATCTTTAATTACGTTTTCCTCAAAATCGCGATCTTTGGAACACAAACTCTGGAGCGCTCTACAATACATGGTAACTTTTTGAAATATTCGAGTATTTCTCTTGGCAAATGATATGAAATTAAGTAATTCTTCTAAACAATGGTACATTCGTCTCAAATTTTGTCTTTTTCACCCTTTGGTCCCTTTCCTTACTGCCGTGCTAAGGAAGAACGCCGTGTGAGCCTTCGGTTGTTGCCAAATTTCCTTTGAAGAAACAAAAATTTCCTGGGAAATTTACGAATATTTTCCGCCCAATTTTTCAGATAATTTTGTTCGCAATTTCACCTAAAGATTCTGAAAATTTCAAAGAAAAATATTCATAACTTTCCTAAGACATAAACATTTTATCGAAGGAAATTTGGCAACTCTCGAATGTTCATACGGCGTTTTTCCTCAGCACGGCAGCATATCGTCACCTTCCAGGCAAAGTATCACAAGCGCCATGCGACGTTTAAAAATTTCCGCCGCCATTTTATTTTTTTACAGAGAAATTGTTCAACGAAGCTGTCCGAAAATTTCACTGAATTTTCTTTGTGCTGCCGATAAAATTTAGTGAAATTTTCAAACAGATTCAACCAACAATTTCTCAGTAAAAAAATAAAATGGCGGCGGAAATTTTTAAACGTCGCATGGCGCTTGTGATACTTTGCCTGGAAGGTGACGATATACCCAATCGCATGTTCTACAGAGTATATACCTCGGAGGTCGTGCCTGAATAAATCAGAAATTTTAAAAAGGATGCATTTCTTATTTTTGAACCAACCAGTTGCTCCTACATAAGGACTGACAATGAGTTAAACAAAAATGCACCAATGACGCATCACATAAAAACCGAGTAAAGGTTTGATATTATACTTCTCCGGAATCCTGGATGTTCAGGACAATATTCAACGACTGTAAGTACTTTCAAAATATTTTTCCTCGACCTACAACTTTTGAAAGCGCAAGTAATGGAGAGGCAACCAGGAAAAATAATAGAATTGAGTGAGAACTTGAGAGCGAGTTCTAGAGATAAGTGTCCGTGCTTCAAAATTAGGCCCATCGATTAGGCGTTAAAATGCGTGCTTACACACGCACTCGCAAGTTGACTTAAATGTCGAGATAGGCGAAAAATACGCTCGCAAGGCAAGGTCATGGCAGTATTTCAAATTTCCTATTACCCTCTTCCGCCACTCATACACTGACCTATTTAAATGCAGTATAAATGGTAGAGTACTCGCGAAATAAAGAGCGACGCCAAGAATGGCACAATTTGGGCCAGAAGGGATTTTTCTGAAACCGGGCCCAAACGATACCTTATGATACCCTAAAACTCTGGTAAAAATTTTAGCTTGAGTATACGCACGGTTTTTGAGAAATGAGGGGGCAAAGTTGCCTAATCGCCATCATTCTGGACAACATTTCTACAGCAAAAAGACGGGAAAATGGACGAAAAAGTTACACCTTTGATGCATTTCGGCTGTACATGTTCTCATTAGGTTCTCAAGCATTTAACTGTGTTCAGTTTCAAACATTTTGGTCGCACAGTGGTCTAAAATGGGGAGAAATCGTCGACAAATCAGGATTCTTTGTCAAATTTTTAGAAATGGAAGTAAAATTGTCGGTCTACTGCAGTTTTCATGGCTAACAATGTTCTCATCGGTCATCGATGCATGAAATTGTGTTCAGCTTCACAAATTTACATCGCACAGTGGTCAAAAATGAGGGAATTAGTGGACAAATTAAGATCCTCTGTCAAACTTCTTAAAAATGAAGTGAAACTGTTGGTCCCCAGTAGACTTTAGATCCCGGAAAAATTCTTTAAATTCTTTTTTTGACTATTTAAATCTTTTTTTAATTTTTTCTCTCCATTTTTACTTCTTTTTTTTAAATTTCTGAAAATTTGCATATTTTATTGAGATAATGCTACAAAGTCTATTCTATAACAACATTCTATAGACAATACGGTCTGACATGTAGTAATAATTAAAAAAATTAAAAACATGAATTTTTCCGGGATCTAAAGTCTACTGGGGACCAACAGTTTCACTTCATTTTTAAGAAGTTTGACAGAGGATCTTAATTTGTCCACTAATTCCCTCATTTTTGACCACTGTGCGATGTAAATTTGTGAAGCTGAACACAATTTCATGCATTGATGACCGATGAGAACATTGTTAGCCATGAAAACTGCAGTAGACCGACAATTTTACTTCCATTTCTAAAAATTTGACAAAGAATCCTGATTTGTCGACGATTTCTCCCCATTTTGGACCACTGTGCGACCAAAATTTTTGAAACTGAACACAGTTAAATGCTTGGGAACCTAATGAGAACATGTACAGCCGAAATTCATCAAAGTTGTAACTTTTTCGTCCATTTTTCCCGTCTTTTTGCTGTAGAAATGTTGTCCAGAATGATGGCGATTTGGCAACTTTGCCCCCTCATTTTCTCAAAAACCGTGCGTATACTCAAGCTAAAATTTTTACCAGAGTTTTAGGGTATCATAAGGTATCGTTTGGGCCCGGTTTCAGAAAAATCCCTTCTGGCCCAAATTGTGCCAAAAAACGGTCGTTTTTGGCGTCGCTCTTTACACACTTTCAGAATGCGACAGAGGATCCGCTTTCTTGCATTCTTGTATTTATTTTTGATGCTAAACTCAAGGCCGGATTCATGCGTTTTTTCACATAGTGCAAACTTAATTTAAATTGGGGCAACCTGAAACTAAAAAGGGACACAAGAGAGGACCACGAAAAAACGTGAATTAACGTGTGATTATAGTCACTACTTTCGGTTCCTCGTCATAAGAAATCACAGCATTATTCGGAAAATTGACAACGTCACATAAATCAGCAATAGTTAGCTCAACGGCATAATAGGCAACACCGGAATTAATTTACGGTGAAAGAAAAACAAGCGAAGCGCTTGGTTAGTGTCGAATGCAACGAACACAATACAAATGTAATTCCAACTCCTGGATGCAACTTTTCGGGCTCAATGGATGTCCGTGTTGCATACTCACGAGAGTGAAGGCGTTTTGACTGTTCACGCACTCACCGCTTCACCCGCGGCTCGCGGCGCCAATGGCGGGCTTCACTGCAAGGTCCAAAATCGCAGATAGCGTTTGATTCTTCTGATGTTAATGTAAGTTTTAATACCGTGAAGTGGTACGTCTGATTTGAAGAGCAATCATTCATGCGTATGCGATGTCTTCGGAGCAAAGATGAAGCATTTCAGGCACTTTGTGATTTTAGATTCTCGCGGTAAAGCTCTATGAAACCAGCCTTTCAGAGAGGTTGGACACGAAATTTACGACTAAAGCTGCACATTTTGATGTTAATTTCTTCACATTATTAATTTTATGGGTTGATTGTTGAGGAAAATTTTTTGAGGAATTTAATGAAACCACTTTTAAAACCTCAACGTTCTAAAATAACATCCTTATGAGCTTCTAATATTCCACATTCACTCATTCGCTACGCTGAACGCCGCCAGTGAGGTGGTTAGTGTCTGAAGTCAAAACGCCTTCACTTTTGTGCGTATGCAACACGGACATCCGTGGAGACCGAATAATTGCATCCAGCAGCTGTAATGAAATTCCTTTGCTATCTGTCGCAGGCGACAGTAACTGAAGCTTTGATTGTTTCATTTATATATATATATGAGTCGCTTTTATACCGCTCTTTGGCGCTGTGCGACGCCTAATCGCCACAAAGCTCGGTTCAAACAAAACCGAGCTTCATTTATATACTTTAAATTAATTCCAGCTTTGCCCATTGTGCTGATGAATTAAACCATTACTGATTTTCATCGTGACATTATCAATTTTCCGAGTAATGCATTTTTTAAATGAATTACACGTTTCCGGTCCTTGAAATAGTATACAAATTAGGTATCCGAATATAAAATGTAGAGTTTCTTTTAACCTACTTGAATGAGACGTCCTCTGTCAGAAAATTGTTTTTTATTTCAGGAAAACTGAGTGATTTTGACGTTTATAGGCGAAATTTTCAAAGAAAAATTCTGATGAATCACATGTAATTGGGACGGAAACGATGACCATTCGTCTTTCAAGAAATAAAATGCGGTAGGTAATATCTGTAATAACACAAGCCTGAATACACGTGTAGATATGATTTTCCATATGCAATGACGAATCTGTAGCTCAATAAAGTCTGGTAAGTATATTTTAGTGAATGTTCTCCTGGATTTTTCCTCCTAAAATGTGGGCTGCGTCTAGTCTGGCTTTAAAAAAAGGCAAAAAAACAAAATTAGGGGCTGGACATGTGCCAAGATTTCCTTATTTGTTTACATTTTTCCTTATTTCACTAAGGAAGTCCCGTAATACGTCGATATACCAAAGGTTCTCGATAAAAATTAGAACAGATGAAATCCATCATAAAATTGATCCTGTTGAATATCTCATGGAATTTGGATGAATGACGGATAATGCACGCATACATGTGATTCAAAATGGCTGAAAATGATATTTTATTCGCATCATTCATATTACATTACTCAAATCACACAGTCATACGCGCTCTCAGTTTTGAAATCAAGTTCGTGCATCAGATTCAAAAAGATCTCTACAACCCAGAATCTTAAGGTTGGTAACAAGTGCAGCAGATGATAACCAGGTTGGGAACCCCCCTCCCTTCGTCCCTCAGAATCGCTACCATGTGATGTTCCTGAGGGGGCAAAAAATTGGTTACAAATAACTCAGTATCCATACTTTTCTTGGGTGGTTTCATGATAACTGGAATAATTTTGTCACCGTAACAGACAACACATTTTTCTATCATATTTTAGTACTAATGATAACTACTCGAATTTTTTCGCATTAATCTTCAAAGAGTTACGCCTTTGATGCTTTCTAACGATTCGTTGCTCTACTTTTCACTTACTATTAGGTAAATTCCGAAAATGTGCTATCTGTTACGCGGTAAAAAGTCAGCGTAACAGACAGCACATTTTCGGCCATTTATATGTTAAAATTGAAAAGTAGAGTAATAAATCGTTGAAAAACGTTGTAACACGTACCGACGTACCCCTGTGTAGATTAATGAAAAAAAAAAAAAAAAATCGAGCGATTATCATTACAACTAACAATATGACCGAAAAATGTGTTTTCGCTGTAACGGCGACAAAACTATTCCAGTTTTCGTTACGTACCCTCTTATTTAGGCATCTATGTCCTGTCTATGTCCTACTTTGTCGCTACTATATCTCTAAAGGCTGTCTATTTAGAAATATCGAACTGCCATCCACTTGATAACGGGCCAACCCGGGTTCGGGTAAATGAGTCTGCCATCGATGCGGTAAGTTGTGAGATCCAGCTCGGCGAGTGTCTCGTAGCCGCATTTCTTGGCGAGCTTCTGGGAGGCTTCCCCGGTAAATACGGCGGCACTGACTGGGATGTTGGTAAGCCTGCAAATTTGGGAACGCGCCCGCAACATCTCTTCACCAATCCCGCGCCGTTGGAACTTCGGCGCCGTCGCCATGCCGTGTCCTGTGACGTACGCGTCGCAATTGAACAATGAGAATACGTCAGCTTTTCCTATAAGGTCCTCTTGAGTCTGGAGTATTTGTTCAACCCTCTTAGAGGGTTTCTCAGGCTGGAACAAGAAGGTCAGCGGGTTAATTATAGAAATATCGATAGACGGAGCAATAGACAAAGAAGACAAAGAGAAAATAGAGCGATCTCATTGGTTCAAAGGGGTGGTTGCCAACAAGGTGGCGGGAACAAGAGGTTTAGCGGGTTGTTCAAAGAAATTGATAGACAAAAAGATAGACAACGAGGACAAAGAAGAAATAGAGCGATCTTATAGGTTCAAAGGGGTGGTTGCCATGGACTAATGGGAAAATGATGGACTGATTATTTTAGGGGCTTGAAGGACAAGGCGCATAGGTGCAGTATTTGAAACATTTGAGATATTATGCATTTAAAGTAAAACTATAGTCATTACGCATGCATTTTTTTTTACGACTTCGACATTAGAGTAGTCTTCTATCCTCTAACAATCTGGGCTCTAGCTCATTGCTATAATGCTAGATGCAAAATGCCAGTAAAGAATTTTCAACAATCACGGGGCCAAAATTTCAACCCATAAATTGCATTATTGAAGAGAATCATTCTTACTTTTGACACAACAGGTTTTTCTTCTTTTTTCTCCACTCCAAGTACACTGCAACAAATCATGCGGCTTTCATCGTCCTCATCATCTTCCAAAAACGCTGCAAGTGATATGCCCTCAGACAGTGGCACTCTCCAGAACGAATAGTTTTTGTCAATCATTTCCTCGTCGTCAACGGAATCTGTAAACGCTCAGATGAAGAAGTATAGATAAAACGAAAGAATGTGAATCTCGAGAGAGGTGTATCTTTTCTAAATATAAACGGTTTTGTCAGTTCTGTACGTTGTGTTTGAGGAATAGAAATAAGGAATTATCACAATGGGAATAATATTCGTTCCTAAAAATGGTTACACATTGATCGAAAATAGAGTTTACATAGCATTGGATGTGCACGGAAAAAAAAATTGCTGATTCACCAATTCAATTGCTAAAAATAGTGAGTGCAATGTTTCAACGCAGATTTTACAACAAAAATATGCTACTTTAATCACATTGTAAACTAATTTAACCACGGGGGGGGTTAAAGTAGCATTTTTTTGTTGGAAAATCTGCGTTGAAACATTGCACTCACTGTTTTTAGCAATTGAATTGTTGAATCAGCAATTTTTTTTCTCTGTGTGACTACGTATCGAAACCTTAAAACATTTTCAAAATTAAGATTCTTATACCTTCCTCTCCCACGAGGTATGTTCTTCGTTTATTTGAATTGTTCATTCTCACTTCCTGTAATATATCCTGTTTCTATTCTAAACTCGGATTCTAATCTACGGGCTGATTATTGAAAGTTTAAAGCAGCCCGATAAGACAACGAATTTCGATATATTGCATGATTAAGATAGCGCTATATGTTGTCGTATAGTATCGAAATAGTTTCAAAAATCAGGCTGTAGGTTTGTATACAGGGGCGGGAAGCAGTGGCAATTTTAGGAAGACGCTCAAGCAGTGTAGCGTGTCCCCGACTCCCCGCGCTTGTCGCTGCGTACCGAGAAATGTATCGCTGCTTGCGCCAGAAAACATAAAACGCCTTCATTTTTAGCGCATGCAACACAGGCATCCATTAAGAACGGATAGCTGTGTTCAGGCGCTGTTAACAGCAGATCGTCCATGAGCTGAATTGATAACCGAAAGCGCTAATTTAACATCATTCCCAATCTCCTACTGAGGACAATAAGGCTTAATTTCGTCAATACAGAGATTTAGAGATTTTCATTCCGGAAGCAATTTGATTTGGCTGCCGTCAGCACCAGAAAGCAGATCTGGCGTAAAATGAAAAGTTATAATGCATGTCTCACCCGACACGAAATGAACGGATTTGACCTGCATTAATCCAACCGCATTTCGCATAGCCTAATGTCCCACCTTATTTTATATCCTTACAGAAATATTAAGCAAATTACGCCTTATAACCCTCCGCAAATGTTCTCAGTGGTATTTTAAAAAAGAAACACAATTTCGAAGTCAAATTTTGCTAAGTTTGCGCGTAAAAATTGTTTAAACTTTAATTGAGGATGTGATGAAATTCCAGTTCTGCGTCTGACTTGAGAATGCATGGTGTATTTAAATACATCCGTCGAGCGAAAAAAGCATCCATGAAGCACAATTGAAAAATATAAGTTGTCAATTTCTTCAGTATACTGCTCAAATGGAACTCATAAAAAAAGGTCATCGGAGTTAATTTTCCCAGTCCAATTATATTTAAGACCCTTTAATTCCATGGATCTTTTTTATTATAACTACGTCCAAGGAACTTTTAATGCTGTAATAATCTTAAATATCCTCACTTACCATAAGAGTTTTCAAGGTTGCTATTTGCGATGAAATATTCATCCATAAATTTGGCTGCTTCTGCAATCAAAGATTCATCGACCAGCTGTATACGATATCGAAAAGCAGAGTGTTCCGAAGATTTCTCTACTTTTACACGTTTGATGATCGAATTTTTGCCAATGCCGAACCCCATGGTTACCAATCACTGTGAGGGTTTATCCTTGAGAACAATGATATTGATATAAAACATCAAAGGAGAGACCCATCAAGCAGAAAAAAAGAGAAAATTGAGTGAGCAAACGAAATTCTGTGCCCCTTCTGTGCTCCCCAAAAAGTTTTAAGGGCAGTTTTGCAGTTTTTTCAAAAATCTGCTTACCCCTCCGTCTCAACGAAACTTACAACCCAGGGTCGGACTGGCTCGCATCTGAGGGCGTAGACCCTTGGCTGGTTAAAGGGGCGTATTGTGATATTTCCTGGTAAGGCATTCCCTACGTGGAGAGAGGTTCAGAAAATTTTGGCAAATCAGCACAAGTCTAAGCTATTTTCAGGTTCAAAGTTTATTGATCGCACGGAGTAAAAATTGCAAAATTGAACGTGAAGCACAGCATTGATAGCTCACGCTTCGCGTCATCGCGCCTTCAATTTTTCAGATGCAGCACGGACGTCCATCAAGTACGAATAGTTGTATCTCTGCGCCGTCGTAAACACGCATCCTTTCCCTCCCTCTTCTTCCATATCGTGTTTGTTTCCGTTTGTCTTATTCGTAATGATGCTTCAAGCACTACGTGAGTAATACAGCCGAAGGTAGGAGAGATGTCTTCAGGCCTTTTTTTAACTTTTCTCCCGAATCAGAGCGACGCTTCATTGACAGCATAAAGCAGAGCATTGAGAACTCACGGTTCGCGTCATCGCGCCTTCAATTTTTCAGATGCAGTACGGACGTCCATCAAGTACGAATAGTTGTATCTCTGCGCCGTCGTTAACACGCATCCTTCCCTCGCTTTATTTCCATATTGTGTTTGTTTGCGTTTGTCTTATTTGTAATGTTGCTTCAAACTAGAGCAGAGCATTGCGAGTTCACGACTCACGGCATCGCGTCTTAAATTTTTCATATGTAATGTGGACATCCATCTTGCGCGAATAGTTGTATTGCGTTTACATTTTAGATGTCTCTTATTTTTGAATTTCGAGATAAATAATTAAGGTTAAGTTTGCCCGAGCTATGCTATGGTGTGCCCAAATCAATAGTCATCTGAAAAGAAGGAAATATGTTTAAAGGTCTCTTAAGAGGTCTATACCTAAAGGATGTGCATTGCGCATGTCTAAAAATCGAACCGACTATCGCTTCTAAGGGAGTTACACATAGCGAATGAAGAAGGGTGATTGTTAAAGCGCCTGTATGTCAAGAAGAAGGTGACAATTTCACAGAAAATTGTTTACGCTTCAAAAAGTAGTTCTTGGACCTCTGTTCACCACTGTCATGCGTTAAAGCACCTTTCTTTACTCCTAAGTCTCTCTTCTTCCGTTCATTTAAGAAGTTTCTCTTACATATTCTCGGTCGTAATTTTTTTTTTCTTCTCATTTTGCTATCTGTTAGAGGGGCGCGTTTTCGGCGCGCAAAGACGTATCTGCCAATGGCAGATTGGCCTTATGGCCAGTCCGAGCCTGTCACAACCTGCTTGCTTTTCAACTATTCCTGCCGTACAACTCTACTCCCTTTCAAGATTCGGCTGCAACAGTCTTCTTGGGCAAACGCTTTTCTTGCGCCACGTAATACTTTGTAACATAGCTGTCGGGAAGCATGGCTGCTGAGGGAGAACGCCGTATGAACCTTCAAACGTTGCAAAATTTCCTGGGTTGAAATACGAATTCTCAAGGAAATTCGTAAGTATTTTCCCTACAATTTTTCAGAGAATTTTATCTGCGATCTGATCTAAATTATTTAAAAATTTCAAAATATATTATTCATTACTGTCCTTAAGAAAAAACCGTTTATTAAAAGAAATTTGGTAACTCTCGATTGTACATACGGCGCGGCGTTTTTTCTCAGCGAGGTAGGGTGGATGGATATTCATGCGTTGAGGGAGGTGTAATCAATCTGTCCGACCCTTCCTTTCGCAAGTTTTCTTGGCGTAATTTGCTCGAATGAATGTCCCAGGCGGGTGTTTTGTCATTATCACTCGGACCACCTGGGCACTACCTCTCTTGAACTACCAATCTCATCTTCCTTCTGGGTCTCGAATTTTCTATAAGAGAATCTTCTCAGACACCGCGCCGACCGGTCGCCAAACCGAGAACCTGCAGAGCGGATGTTCAGCTTATCTGAATACGCAGTGACCACCACCCCTATAATAACCCCCCTCCCCCCCTCCGGAGACTGATCCGACGCGTCAAGGAAAACGTCGTGCACGTGTAACAGTCGGGCACGTCAAACCGAGGGAGGCGGTTCACCTCTCTACGATAGCTTGTGATTTTGATGAGCTGATTTTTTCTGTAAAAGTCGATATTTCGCCGCCCAGATATAAGAATTCGTGATTTTGAAACGCTATTTCTCAGTTATACAGTACGTCCTGTCAAATTATATAGTGTGCTAAGTACCATCGTCAGTGGCGTTAGTATTTCCTCACTCTTGTCGGTTGTCATTGTGAGAGAGTTCAGTAGCTTTTCTCCCGAGATACTTTCGTGATTTTCGGTCGGAGGATGTCGTTTTGGAAATCATGCTGTTCCTAAGCACGCGCTTCAGTAGTATTAATTTGGTGAGTTGCTTGCATTTATATCACTGAAAATTGTATCTCTTCGAGGGAGATGTGGTTACGTGTGGTGTAAGACTTGAAAGTCGCCGGGAGGCGATTGTTTAAAAGGGTGCAAAAATTGTGGAGACTGAGAATTTTATTTGTAAGATTTTTAACTCTGGTGAAGTAATACAACTCCAGCACTTATTCTAAAATTAAGGCGCTGGATGCAGAAAGGGCATTTCTTGGTTGCGGTGTCTCCGGATCTCGGTTAACTTTTTATCCACTCTAATTAAAGTAAATGCGTGGAATTCGTTAAAACTTCTATTAAATTTTCTTTATGACTTTACATTGTTTAAAACTGAGTCAAAAAATTCAACCGTTTCCTCCCTGAAACATACAATTACCAGTGGAGATTCTGACACAGCGCAACGAAGAAATGCCCCTCTCACGTCCAATGCCTCAATTAACAAAATATCCGACAAAATTTTGACCAGCGCATTGTTGACCTTTCTGCAAAAACCCAGCGCGATGCCGAAAACTGCGGAGGCCCAGAAAAATTTATACCCCTGATTGCTCATTCCGATTTTCTCGATATTTTTAAATCGTCCACAATTTAGTTGAGTTACTATTATCTCATTCATGTCACTTGTCATTGTATGAATTTTTGCAGCCTTTTTTCGTGGTATTTTTATGATGTTTGATTCGAGGATATAGTTTTGAGTCGTTCTAGAAGTAATTTTATGCATATGCCCATCGGTGTTGATTCGATAAGTCACTTGCAGCTTTTATCACCAAAAATCTTACCAAGAAGATTTGGTTGCCCAAGTAGCCTAGATTTCAATAAATTACATTTAGATGGTTAAATTCGTAGTTCCCTCATGGAGAATCGCTAATTACATGTTTTTATTAAGAGAATCTTTGGCATTTCTAACTAGGAATGTCAATGATTTTATTTCCTCAGATTTCATGCAAAAATCGGAAAGAATTTGCAGTAAAGTTGCACAGGTACATTTCTGTAAAATGAATTAATTGTCTGAGTCAATTTGGCAACCTTGAAATGGAGTGGATGCGACGAATTGGAGCACTACTGGGCACTGAATACAGGAAGGGCACTTCTCGATCGCAATGTTTCAGATTTTCCGCTCCGTTATGATCAAAGCAGCTGTATGTAATTCGTAAATATTCTTCATGATTCTACAATGCTGTGAACGAAAAATCTGCTTTCAGTGAGCTGACTCAATTAGTTTTCTCTCTAAACTGTAAAAAAATACAACGGTTTTTGATACATCGGAAAATCAACCAAAAATCGAAGACTGGGCGAAACGCTCAAGGTCGCAGAGGCATAGGGAATCCCATAGCGATAGCAACGGAACGATTGTAATATCATGGGGAACTCCGTTCCCATGACAATTAGTAGTCAAGATTCTGAAACACAACAATCGAAAACTCGATACTGCATCGCAGTGCTGTGTTTGTTGCCTACCTACAGATAGTGGGAAAAAATTTGAAGAAACTTTTCAGAAATTAGGAACTTTTTTTGAAGAATTCTTTGCCGTGCACCTCGCCGAACATTTTACCGAATATTTTTACCGCATATTTTTACCGCGTTCCTCCCTAGGAACACAGAATCGAAGAGAGGAACCAAAACGGGTCGCTCTCCCCCCCCCCCCACCTCACTGTTTTAAGTATATCCCTTTTTTAAAGGAAATTTAAATAGTTTGAGAACCATTTGCTAGATTTTTTGACTATGCTCTCCCTTCCTTCCCGGTAAAAGTGACCTTTTTTCGTGCAATAATTTTACTCTCGTCCTATCCTCAGATTGGTTGCAATCTATGCATTTTTCAGTAAAAGGGCTTGTGAGACCGCAGTGCTGCTAAGATTGTGCAACGTAGTTCTCCAGTTGCAAGTAACTTTATCAGACAGTTCAAATCGGAAGAAGCATATCTACGAATTTCCCCGAAAACTTCTGATTTATCCAAGGACATTTGACAACAGCTGAGGGTTTATACGACGTGTTTCCTAAGCGCTCGGTAGCGTTGTCCTTCGTGGCTACTGAGATTCGTGTTTCTGTGAGGTGTGACTGTGCCCCGTCCCTCCTTTTCCAAGTTTTCCCCCGACGGGTATTTTGTCATCACCACTTGACAATACCCAGACTCTTATCTCCTCTATGCTGCCGATTTCCTTTTCATCCGAGTCTCTTTAAGAGAATTTTCTCCGATGCCGCCGGCCGGTCGCCAAACGGCCAGACAGGGATTCTGTCGAGCGGATGTTCGGCATATCAGACCAGCCCCAACTCCCCCCCCCCCCCCGCCGCCACCATCGCCCCAGGTACTGAGGACGTTACGTGAAACGTCTAAGTCAGTCTGGTGTGTGAAATCGAGGGTGACGGTTCAGAGTTCTTCAGCGGCTTGCAGTTTTGAGGAGCTAATTTTTCTGTTAAGTTCGGTAGCTCCTCGTTGTTGATTTTGAAACGCTACTT